ATATATATAAATAATTTTCGCATTAAATTGTTGTCAATCAGTCAACATTACATAAAGGAACGTGTTTTTACAGGATGTTTTCAATAATTGGTTTAAGAGAAAAACATTGTTGAATTCAGTTCACCATATCGATACCTATCCTTTGCAATCTTCGATAAAAATTATCGTTTTTCATTTTCAGAGAATTGATAAATGAAGACAATAGTCACATACCATGTATCAGATCAAGTCATGGTGCGATACAAAACTGTGGCATAAATAATGCAAATGTGATATTCTGTTGTGAATATATGGTGCTATTGACATCGATCCTTTATCATATTACGTAACCTCAAAGGGAACTACCGTACGCCCCTGATAGCCGCCGGTCTCTGATATGATGATTTCTTCCATAGTCAATTACAGATATGACAACATTGGTATGAATAATATACAAGACAATAGGGCTGTATTTCGTTGGTCGTTGATCTACTTCTCCAACACAACTTTGAAAAATCTATTATAACTATATGATTATATAAATATATACTATATGTGAGTATAAAAGTCAAAAAGGTTAGTGTACGTAATAAAATAATCTGAAATAAAACAAAAGATAATAAATAAATTCTTTAGTTTTATTTCGGATTATTTTATTATACCATATATGCTATATCAGCAAAATTGTATGTTCATGGTAGCCTAACCAAGGTTGTCGATGTGTGTATATGACATTATAATGATTATGGTACGTTCAATATCCAGAAAACTCTGGAAATATGTAATGTTTATGAATAAGGTGGTTATTCCGAGGAAAGATATTTATCTGAATTCCTCAATAGAATAACAGTGTAATATACCAATACAGAAATACACAGTATAGTATTTAGTATTAAACTCTTTAGATGTATTTTATATGAGAACAATATCGTAGCGGCTATAACGATTTCATAAAAATGTACACAATAATGTATTTTTGCATATTACTTATTTATTGTAAATATCTAGATATGCACTATTATTTTGTGAAACGTTTCTCCAAGTTATGAGGTTTTGCTTAAAATATGTAAACTGAAATGTATCACCGCTAGTTATAATAATACTGCATCAGTATTACACACTTAGCTACTGTAAGTTAGAAATGTACTACTTGAAATAGTTTGCATGTATAGCAAAAAATACTACTATGTACCATATATTGTGTTAAGTAACCAGATAAATCTGCAATACTTAATGATGGACTGTGTACATGTGAATATGTATCAATTGATGTCTACATTTTATTGATAAGTTGCAAATTATTAGCACCGGTGGTTTAATTAAGTCTATCATCGATGGGCTGTGCATATCGTAAAAACGTTATCTATACCTGAGTACCTCGATACAGTTCAGAGACATACACTCCCCTCCATAAGTTTGGCAACCTTTTTCCCCCATTGAACTACGTGTTAAAGCCTCTTTACCTTTGCATTTTTATTTACTTAACCTGCGATGAAAATACTTATACTATTGATGAAAACGTAATTTGACTTTAATTCCAATAGCTCCAAATTTTCTCAATTTTTTCCTCAATTACAATAGGTCGAAAATTGATGATGAATTTGATGAATTTTTGAAAATCGACATTCCCATGTTAACCAATGGGAAATGGTAGGTTTGCCGCAAGTCATATGACAGAATATCCATCCATCTGAGTCCTTGCAAAAAATACGAGTTAGGCAGGTAATTGAATTTGCGAACTTTATTTAACAAAAAATTGATATGTTTTTTCAGGTTCAACAAAGTTATAGGGCTTTAGAGTCAAAATTGTTTTTCAAAAAACCTCTCCCATTGAAATAATACAGGAGGCGAAAAATAATTTTCAAAAATGACTTTGAAGTGCTGTAACTTTAATATTCATCAAATAAACTAAACACTTAGTGTTCAAAAAAGTTAGACAATTCAATTTTCTATATAAAAACATTTTTTGCTGAATCTTTTACTGAGGAGATATCCTGATTTCTTATTTGCCCCGAACCCTTCATTTCCCATTGGATTACAAAAATTCACCAAATTTGTAATATTGTAATTGAGGAAAAAAATTTCTGATTTGCCCTGAACCCTCCATTTCCCATTGGATTACATGAGAATGACGATTTTGAAAAATTCATCACATTTATCATCAATTTTCGACCTATTGTAATTGAGGAAAAAAATGAGAAAATTTGGAGGTATTGGAAATAAAGTCAAGTTACGTTTCCATCAATATCATAAGTTATTTCATCGCCGGTTAAGTAAATAAAAATTCAAACGTAAAGAGGCTTTAACACGTAGTTCAATGGAGAAAAGAGGTTGCCAAACTTATGGAGGGGAGTGTATGTTTGAATTCATTTACAGAGACATGATCATGAGGTAACGTGGTATATTTCACGTCAGAACTTATTATTTATGCTGTTTATATTGGTCATTTGCTGCAATAATTACAGTCAATTGTATATCAGTTGTATAAATCATATTGTCATTGTATTTACTACCATATGAAAGGAACAGATGTTCCCAATGAGATTTCTGCTGTATGTAAAACTCGAGGCCTGGGAGAAAGGAATACACGCTCAATATAATGAAATGTCGCCTTGTCTACCGACTTATTTATATACAGTAGTGTGCTGTATGTACATCAATCATTTTAGAAATTGTACATAATATACTCTAGATATAGTGACTATAAATATATATAACGCGAGAAACATTATTTTTGAATATTCAATTGTCCCGGGCCTGGGAGAGGGCGTGGGCGTGGGCGTGGCTTGCCAAGATGACCAGACTTGGTTTTATGTACATGTTGCGTAGTTATCATTTTACAGAATGTAAGTGTTTGTTTGTATAGTGGACATTTATCATGTACGTATATTTGGGGTAAATATAAAATAAAGGAAGTTGTGCACATATGGACACGACCGATGGATTATAATAAGCACAGTTTATTCTGTGTGCAACTATCTTCCATAATTTTAAATGTCGGTTTCACCGGAGTGCCATACGCTAAGCCAGATATCATCGGGGATATCGTATGTCATCCCTTGCATGATATCAGTATGTAGGTGCATATATTTTATATTAATCGTATACTGCACTCCTACTTTATATCATTAATGATATCATTAATGATATGATAACGTTAAATGGCTTCATCTTCAGAAAAATTAAACTATTAATTATAATGTTGACTGAGTGTTGATAAATGTAAAATTGTGTTTTATAGATTTTGCTTCATATACAGTAAAATGGTGAAAACAGTAAATTGCTTGGCCGTTGCAATTGTACGTATATGATAATAAGGAAAACGTGATAATAGTATTCATGTATAAACCAATGGGATAACTTATTGGAACTTTATACAAATGTGTATACTTGAATACTTGAGACGTTTTATGTACGTTCAGGCGCAACTTAAGAACTGAACTTAATTATTACAGTTTAATAACGTACGTTTACATTAGTTTCAAATTATACTTGAGTAATATATGAACTAATGTGAGATATTTGAAAGTTTACTTTCTCATTTAGTTACAAATTGTATTTTTTGATATAAAGTTAAAGTGTTATTGCAGAAGATGACGTTGTAGTGTAATGACACCTTTATCAATTTACGCATGTAAAATTGTCGAGACGACCCATTTGCTTATGTTTACATAGGCTAGTTGGGTAATAATTTTTTCATTATTATAATTTCAAATGACTGCATATTCTACGTAGATGTATTAATGTTATAAGTCATAATAAATTCGTTATCAAATAAATGATTATTGTAATTCAGTATTTTTTTGTTTTTTCGAATTGCATTGTTTTGTTTGCAACTTAATTGTTTCCTTAGCAACTGAGCCCATTTGTTAAAACATGCACGTAAATAAAAATAACTCCTTGTTAATGCTATTGAGCGACCATGCACATTCCATCTTTCGGTGTAGGCCTATATCATTCCTAAGAAGTCCTCTGGTATCTGACATGTTATCCTGCTATGTAATGCTAATCGAAATATAATATTCTTAAAGGCCAATGTGGGGATTTAAAGTGTTAAACCATGTTTTAAAAAATAGCCTACACAATCTGTTCATTGAATATGCAATTGAGATCCCGAGATTTCACCCGACCCCAGCTATTTGCACCAATCATTAGGAAACATAATAATATTGACCATAGATATAAGGTGCAGGAGAGAACTCGGACTCCATGTTTCTACCAAATCAAAAGGTTTTTCGAAAGTGTTGGTCTTGCAATTATATATATTAAGATACAATTCAAAATTATGCAACAGTGCTTACAATTCAACGGGATATAGAAAAGTTCATGTAAGACCTTTGAATGAATGTATCAACGACAGATGACTTCAACAAATATATATAGTCGAGTTTGAGTTGTCCAGAGGATAAGTTGTCTAAAGGGATGAGTTGTCCAGGGATGAGTTGCCTAGAGGATGAATTGACCAGGGGATGAGTTGTCTAGGGGATGAGTTGTCCAGAGGATGAGTTGTCTAGGGAATGAGTTGTCCAGTGAATGAGTTGTTTAGGGATGATTTGACCAGGTTGTGATTTGTCTAAGGGACGAGTTGTCCAGGGTATGAGCTGTCTATGCGATGAGTTGACCAGGGTATGAGTTTTCTAGGGGATGAGTTCTCCAGAGGATGAGTTGTCCAGAGGATGAGTCGTCCAGGGGATGAGTTGTCTAGAGGATGAGTTGTCCAGATGATGAGTTGTCTAGGGGATGAGTTGACCAGGATATGAGTTGCCTAGGGGGTGAGTTATCCAGAGGACGAGTTGTCTAGAGGATGAGTTGACCAGGGTATGAGTTGTCTTGGGGATGAGTTGACCAGGGTATGAGTTGTCTAGAGGATGAGTTGACCAGGGTATGAGCTGTCTAGGCGATGAGTTGACCAGGGTATGAGTTTTCTAGGGGATGAGTTCTCCAGAGGATGAGTTGTCCAGAGGATGAGTCGTCCAGGGGATGAGTTGTCTAGAGGATGAGTTGTCCAGATGATGAGTTGTCTAGGGGATGAGTTGACCAGGATATGAGTTGCCTAGGGGATGAGTTGTCCAGAGGACGAGTTGTCTAGAGGATAAGTTGACCAGGGTATGAGTTGTCTTGGGGATGAGTTGACCAGTGTATGAGTTGTCTGGGGAATGAGTTGTCCAGAGGATGAGTCGTCCAGGGGATGAGTTGTCTAGATGATGAGTTGACCAGGGGATGAATTGTCCAGGGAATGAGTTGCCCAGAGGATGAGTTGTCTAGGGAATGAGTTGTCCAGAGGATGAGTTATCTAGGGGATGAGGCGACCAGGGTATGAGTTGTCTAGGGGATGAGTTATCCAGAGGATGAGTTTCCAGAGGATGAGTTGTTTAGGGGATGAGTTTTCATGGAATGAGTTGTACAGAGGATGAGTTGTCTATGGAATGAGTTGTCCAGAGCATGAGTTGTATACGGGGATGAGTTGTCTAGGGGATAAGTTGACCAGGGTATGAGTCGTCTAGGGGATGATTTGTCCTGGGGATGAGCTGTCCGGGCGATGAGTTGTCCAGGAGATGAGATGTCTATAGGATGAGTTGTCAAGAGGATGAGTTGTCCAGGGGGATGAATTGTCTATAGCATGAGTTGTCCAGGAGATGAGTTGTCCAGGGGATGAGTCGTCTAGGGAATGAGTTTTCCAGGAGATGAGTTGTCTAGGGGATGAGTTGTCCAAGGGGATGAGTTGTCCAGTTACCTATATCGAATTATTTCGAAGTATATTGTGATGTATAATAAGTCTTTATCAATTATAAATCGGGTCTTACTTATCATTTACATACATTTTGAACATACTTGAAGTCAAGTGTTCATTTGGAAAAACTATCGATATTCTCGTTTAAATATTTATTTGATGTCTTAACTCAGCAGTTTATCTATACATACAAACCATTGGAGTGTTTAAAATAGCAACCCAAATGTGATTATAATGCCATCGATCAATACGAGTCCTATAAATACATTTAGAGACCACCCTTGGTATACGCAGCTAACGAAAATTGACCGGTACGGGTCAAAAGCTGGACCGGTACGGGTTAACGGTTTTATTTGAATTTAAAATAGCCATAACTTGCTCAATATTGACTTCCTCGTGTCTAATTTGAAGTATATGATGCCTCCCGATGCTTTTAAGTACCCCAATTTTTTACAGATTTTTAAACGGACCAAAACTCTCTAAATGCGCATTTATGCTCTTTTCTCTCGAGAACGACTGTCTCATTTTCACGATAACTTTTATTTAGTACTTCTAACATATAAGATCTATTTTTCCCCATCAAGGTATGATGTAAATGGCATGCTATTTACATCTTGTGAGTTTCAATGACGCGCGTTTGATTTTATAAAAAATGCCAAACTTTGTGACAAAGAATTTCATCCTGCTTGCAGCGAGAAGACGGACCGGTTCGGGGCAATCTGCTTGCAGCGAGAAGACGGACCGGTTCGGGGCAATAGCTGATGAAATTCTTTGTCACAAAGTTTGGCATTTTTTATAAAATCAAACGCGCGTCATTGAAACTCACAAGATGTAAATAGCATGTCATTTACATCATACCTTGATGGGGAAAAATAGATCTTATATGTTAGAAGTACTAAATAAAAGTTATCGTGAAAATGAGACAGTCGTTCTCGAGAGAAAAGAGCATAAATGCGCATTTAGAGAGTTTTGGTCCGTTTAAAAATCTGTAAAAAATTGGGGTACTTAAAAGCATCGGGAGGCATCATATATTTCAAATTAGACACGAGGAAGTTGATATTGAGCAAGTTATGGCTGTTTTAAATTCAAATAAAACCGTTAACCCGTACCAGTCCAGCTTTTGACCCGTACCGGTCAATTTTCGTTAGCTGCGTATACCAAGGGTGGAGACGATAGTCCTACCCTTTTACCCACCAAGAATCCCTCACAAATATGCAGCTACAGAGGTTTTACAATTCGATCTTGCCTAACCATAATTATTCCGGATTTGGGGATTCCAAACCTGCACATGTTATTATTTCAACAGTAATATTATGTTTAGGCGGTGGGCTGTAATTTGTTCCATTGTTAGATGGGCGTCTGTCATTGTACTTTCCACAAAGATCCGGGTCGTTCGAGGTTTCCTCGCAGCATTTTATATAGGGGTATATATCTATTCTATAATGTTCACTCCGTGAAAAATATGACCCCGCGGCCCTGTTAGCGGTACCTGCACCTGGCCCAACCATGAGTTTACATTCAGAGTCGTAACAACATTCCTGTTGAACTCCAGCGTTGCTGAAATCAAAAGTGAAAATGACGAAAATGTAGTGCCAGAATATAATGTTTTCGGAATTGGAATCCACGCTTATGCCTGAGTCACATTTTTCCGATTCATCGGCCGGCGCCCGGTCGATTGAGTACTTTCTTCAAAGCTGAATACAATTTTGAAAAAATTCTCAATCGGCTAGACTCCGGCCGCTGTATCGGAGCTAACGTGATTCGGGCATTTACGTGATGCAACTGATGAGAGTTTCTTTATTGTGAAGCGTGCATTTGATTAGCGTTGCGGTTCATCATGGATTCAAGGAGGATTGGCTCCCCGGATGCAATCTAGAAACATTAACTGGCCATGGCTTTTTATTTATTATCAGCAACCCCAAAAATTTGAGCTAATATGTGTTTTGATTTCTTTGTAATAAAGATCAAACTTCGCGATTCAAAATCTCAAGTAAAAAATGGCGACTGTTCAATTTTGAATTTCATAATCACGACTTCCTTCAAGATTGGGGTTATTCAAGGAATTGTTTTATACCCGGGGCCTAGTATTTGTACTAAACGAAACGAAATAATATCGAGATTGCAATCTTTGAGCCAATCCTCTTTGTCATGTATTATATAACTGTATAAACCAAAATATTATTCACAAGCTTTAACTTACGTTATTTCTTTTGCCACATAACAAACAGAAGCACCAGGATGAAACCTAGATATATCGCTGGTGACCCGTTCGTACCGCCTGTCATATCGAGCCATGTTTGAAGTAGGGGCGCACGGTAGAACGTCCGTCATATTTATTGGGTTTTCGAGTTCTTCCTTGTACCAGTTAAGACACCATTCTGAAGCTAGAACCGCATCTTTTCTATTATCTATACTTTCGAGACATGCCCTCCTTCACATATAACTAATTTAAAACTAAATCAATGGGAAAAGTAGTTGGCCTTTCGTTGTCCAAAAGATCCCAAGCACACAGTGGGGTTGCATATATATAAAAGAAATAAATCATGTGAATATTGCAATGCTTTATAAGTATGTGTATAGTGAACAAACACAAGTATGCTGTTGTTTTACAACTAGTCTGGGGTGTAGACTCCAGACAATTATATAACATGTTTAGGTCATAAACAAGTAGTTCAGGGTATAAAAATATCAAAACAAATATTTCATTACTTTTTGGGCGAATACATATGTACCTATGTTGCTTTGAAAACGAAAATTACTCGCGAACGATGCACGAGTATTTACCTCAATGGGACGAAATGACTGCAGAGTATTTCCTTCCGGATAAACCGTAAAGCCGTAACATATAGCCGTCAAAGAGCTCTGGGTTTTTTATATTCCAAAGAGATGAACACTTTTTGCAAAACCGACAGACAATAATTATTAAGTACCAGCTACAGGCTGCATGTAATAAGCACTCCAACATACCATTTTTATTTAATTTATCTGTTAATCAATTGCATTAATTATGAAAACATACATGTATCAGTATTTATTTATTTTCAAATAACATGAAAATCAAATTGCCTCACCATTTTTATCACTTAATTCTTTCAATGTATTGCTGACTGACTCTGGTATATCAGGGTCGTTTCCTCGTCTTGGGGGCTCCTGGTTACTCTGAGAAAGAGTTAAAGCTATGGTCACGGACGCCCATGTAAAGAATACGACGATGTGTTTCGGTTCTGACATCATAATGTGTCGATTGCGCGACTAGAGCTATAGTCGAAATATGAGATGATTAAGCTATAATCCTTTCTCAATCTTGTTATGGTTGAAATAGCGAAATATGTTTTCTGTCATGGCGAAGGTCATCTTTTATTTTGATTTTAATGTTATTCACTTTGGACGATTAACTCAACATTTCATTAATGATTCAAAAACAGCTGTTTAATTGGTATCATCAGGAATCAGTAGACGATAATAATTTAAATAAATCGGCAATAATTCAAGTTCAATTTAAATATTTACAGTTTGCTCATTCAAAAGTAAAAATCTAATGCAAAATAGTATTTGTTCGGAAAGCGTCTTTCAAGTTGCAATGATTAAAAATTCATAAAATCTGAATAGAATCTGCATTTTAAGTTAATTAATCATTGAATGTCCATTCAGCGGATAGTTGTAGGCCTATTAGATGTGTTAGTTGTCAAATTAGATGAAAATAGCGCATAATCTTAGTTTTCCGTTTCATCAAAATGTAAATCTAGAATGTACATATAATCTAGAATCACTGTGTAGAATGAGTACATTTGTTCCTACATTGGAAATACTCATGGTTGTATGAGAAGGAAAACGTGCCAGTGATACGGTATGGTGACGACAAAGACAAATGAGGATCTGTTCAACGGAAAACTCCGAGTTGCTTCTTGCCATTTCGTCATATTCCAAAGGCCTTAGTTGTTTCGGATAGTAAATATTATTGTTTCTCGTAAAACGTTGGTCATTCTGTCACTGTTTCAATATGCGGTGTATTGGCGTGTATTATGGCCTTGGGATGTGTTTCCCTTGATCCTTTTGTCGTAACGTTTTGCAGATGCGTTTCTATTTGGACATAGAGTCGTTATCCGTCATGTTTGTGAAATACACATTATGGGGTTTGTCATGTAATTGTACTCTTCAATTGTTCTATTGTTGTTTATTTTCACTGGGTAAATTGAAACGTATGTATCTTGACCCTCAGTTTTATTTACACAGTATTAAATAGAGAGCTTTGGGCTGGAAATCTGATGGATGACGGTAAAGTTTAGCAAACAAGTAATGAATCCGAACTTGTAGTTGCTCGGAACAAATATGGAGAAGCAGAACCGGTCAATTCAAAACATTGAAATGACTATTCTCCGTTCAATTTATTTCAATATTTAATGTTAATATACCGTGGCATACTGAAAAAAGTATTGACATGGAATTCAAATCCGGTTTGAAGGCTTTTAAAATATATTTCAATTCCAACGTCTCTGTAATGTAACAGTTTGTTCACTTCTTTTTTCACCAAGTGTTAGATGTCAAAATTCGCATGTCTCAAAATATGCCAATGTCACTGGTCATCCACTCGATAACGCTGTTTACCAAAACGGTTCGTTTCGGTAACAAAATGTCGACCAGGAAGGTACGATTTTTCTTTTTTCCTAATTTTACGCGTTGTGGGCAGAATTCCCACTCTGACATTTTTATAACAAGTACTCGGGGTGGAAGGTGTGAGAATTGTACAGAAAATGACTTTGTGAGCTGGATGGAGTTTCTCTGTATTTTTCATTCTATTAGGGTTTCCTGCATAAGGGATTTCGCCTGCGAAGCATAGAACTCTTGCGAACATATCTAAATATTGGTCCCAAGAAGACATACCTTGAATTTTTTAGAAAAAAATTGGCAAAAAATGGAAACTACAAAAAGTCAAAATGTTCAACTCAAACAAAACTCTAGCTATCTAATATTAACACTATGTATTATTTAATGTTTTTCAGATGTTTAAGGACCTTCATTAGTGTACTAGTGTCTAGAAATAAGATAATTAAGGACAAAATTTGGCATTTTTGATCATTTTCGCTTTCAGCAGTAACATATAGTTCCTTATATCTTGAGTTTAATGTTGACTGGTTGTTGCAATTTTGATTAAAGCTGTGCTTGTACATGTCTTCTTCCATTTAAGATACAAAAATGTATATTGGGACCACCAATGGTCATATTAGAGCTTTCAGATCTCCCCTACCCCATTTATTATGAAAAACTACTGAAACATATGAAAATATAAAATAACTTGAATTTATAAACTTTAACAATGTTGTAGCTATTCTATATCAATATTATGTATTATTTAATGTTTTTCAGATATTTCAAAACCTTTATTGGTAAACTAGTGCCTAGAAATGAGACATTTAAGGACAAAACTTGGCACTTTTTAAAGTCATTTTAGCTTTCAGCAGTAACATATAGTTCCTCATACATTGAGTTTTATGCTTACTGGTTGTTGCAATTTTAATCAAATCTGTTCTTGTAGATGTCTTCTTCCATTTAAGGTATGGGAAATGTATAGTGGACCACCAATGGTCATATTAGAGCTTTCAGATCTCCCCTACCCCATTTATCATGAAAAATTAAAGAAAAATATGAAAATATAAAATAACTTGAAACTATAAAGATTAATAAAGTTGTAGCTATTCTATATCAATATTATGTGTTATTTAATGTTTTTAAAATATTTCAGAATCTTTATTGATAAACTAGAGCCTAGAAATGAGACATTTAAGGACAAAACATGGCTTTTTTCACCATTTTCGCTTTCAGCAATAACATATAGGTCCTTATATCTTGAATTTAATGCTGACTGGTTGGTGAATTCTTAGTCAAAGTTGTTCTTGTAGATGTCATCTTTCATTTAAGATATAAAAAATGTATAGTGGATGACCAATGTTCATAGTAGAGCTTTCAGATCTCCCCTACCCCATTTATAAGGAAAAATGACCTGAAATATTAATAAAAAGTAAAATAACTTCAAATTATGAACTTTTACAAAGTTGCACCTATTCTATGTCGATACTATGTATTACTATGTATTATTTAATCTTTTTCTGATGTTTCAGGACCCTCATTAGTATTCTAATGCCTAGAAATGAGATATTTAAGGACAAAACTTTTTTTCATTTTCGCTTTCAGCAATAACACATATGTCCCTATAACTTGAGTTTTATGCTGACTGGTTGGTGCATTCTTGGTCAGATCTGTTCTTGTACATGTCTTCTTCCATTTAGGATATAGAAAATGTATATTGGACAACCAATGTTGATATTATGGCTTTCATGTCTCCCCTGCCCCATTTATAATGTAAATGAAAAAGTAATTTCAAATCATAAACTTTAACAAAATTGTAGCTATTCTCTATCAATACTATGTATTATTTAATGTAGCCTTCATTTGATTACATGTGTCTAAAATTTGGCATTTTTAGCATTCTGCATTTAGCAGTAGCATATAATTTTCCACAATTATAATTCTTTGATGATAGATTTATATGTGCTTTTTATTGAATCTGTCTTCTCTGATTTAAGTTAAAGAAAATGTATGTAAGACAACGAATGTTTTTATTAGAGGTCTAAGATCTGCCCTCCACCATTAAATAAGAAAAACACCACAAATGTTATAATTGCATGTTAATATTCTTAAAACTTTTCAAAAGTTTAGCACATTTATAAGCACACTAAAATCAAAAAATGGCACATAAATGGGCAAAATGACCAATTTTTCACTTTCAGCAATAGTTGTTTATATTTTTAGTTGAATGGTGATTAGTTGACATATTTTAGATCATATATATTCAATTTTGTGTCTTGTTATCTTCAAAGCATGGAAAATGTGTTTTAAACACAAATATACATATTAGAGATAAAATTACTACACTACCATATTTTTAAAAGATTACTCAAAAATAGAATAGTGCGAAATAATTTTGTAATTTCTCAGTTTACTCTCATATGAATCAAAGAATATGTCTATATATAAACATGATTGTTCACAACTCTCGAACTTAATCCAGCAACAGCCTGATTTTTCAAATCTCCCTGGTTCTATGTTAGAGCTGCATTCAAGTCATTTTAAAGGTCTAAGTTGCTCATGACACCACAAGCTATATATTCAGATATGTAAGATATCTAAATAATTTTTAAAGTTATAATTTTTATAGTTCTAAGAAACTCATCCTTAAATATTGTCCAATGATGTGCACTTGTGTTGTTTATTGCCATATGGACAGGAAGCAATACACCCTTGACTAGAAACTTTTTATTGCAATATTCGGTGCATTTTGCCATTTTACATTTCCTAATTGCCAAGGACATAATATGTTTCTTATGTTGCTATGAAGGTTTGTTTGTGAGTACTGGTACAAGACACCCATCTTTGATATATCTTCAAATAGGTATTGCACTTTGAGATTCATATAGTAATTTAGAATGCTAACCTTGAAGGACATAAGAAACTTTAAGAGCTCTTTTTAACTCTCATCCTTCTTTGCAAGCAACATTCTGTATCATCAGACTGAATACAAATTCTCTCAACATTGAACTCCCTTGTCTTGTCTGCAGCACTGTAATAGACATGGGCCATAAGGAGAGTGCCAACTTCTTCATGATCAGTATTTGATAGATAAGTTGCAACTATCAGTTTTGCAAAGTTCAATAGCAGCTCTGCAATAAGTGAAATTCATCCAATTTTAGAGATACGGTAACATTGCTTCACAAACCAAAGACAGCCTACCATTTTGTAATCCTTTCCAAAATCATCTTGTTGGCTGTTCTTCATTTCACAATGTTTACATTTACCAAAATATCCCCAAGCCCAATATCCATCATGAACTTCCTAATTACACCACCCCTAGGTGCAATATGGAAACAACCAAGCCTTTGACAACATTACAATTACTCAGATGCGAGTAGGTAGTTACCAGTTTCACCACCAGGTGGCTGATTCGGGGGAAATAACATGGCAGGGTATTACAAAATTCCCTTAAACTTAAATATTTATCAGTTTTAGTGGTTCACTTTTCATATTACCCTTATGTATCTGATAGTTATACAAATTAAAATATGTCCAGTAAAAGAAAATATTATCTGCCCAACACAAGAAAAGATATTTCCATTTTTGTGATTTTACAACATGGGGGCTATGGGGAATCTCCCGACCTAGAAGTCACATTTTCAAAGAAAATAAAATTTCAAAGTTGATAAACT